AGGGGACGATTTGAGCAGATCATGGCTTCACGGTATTCAGTATCCTGCAATATATCGGACGCAAGACCATGTATGTGAGTCAGAACAGACCAACTGGAGCGAAGTGAATTTCTCTTCACATGATACTTTCTAAACAAATATTACTAAAAGGTTTCACTCTCTTTACAATGATACTGTGGCAATGTAAGACCGATGAAAATTCTTACATCAGGTTGCAATGTTTACGTCTTAACGATTATCAACGAAACTGAAGGAAACGTCCACCATGTAGATGTGTATGCTAAGGGTATTGACAAATACAAGGCGATCGCAAATGCGCTTAAAATGAAGTTTACGTGAAAAATTTCTTGACGTTTAGAGGTTCAGGAGGGTTCGCAGTCGGCGGTACGAGATATCGGCCTGACAAACGCATGGTAATTTGTGGGAAAGGAATCGAATGTATTTTATATGTTTGTTTCGTGTCTGCAGTTATTACCTTTCAAATAAGGTACTCCTGGTTGATTGCACTTAAGTCAGCATTGTTTCAGTAATCTAGATGAAAATGATTTGGTCGCAATGACGCGTGTATTGAAATGAAAGGAGCATCGAAATCTCAAGGTTGAAACGTTGCTTTCTATTTCATCCGAGATGCCTTCACTTTTGAAGTGCTTGGTTTCAAGGTCAAAAATCACAATTACCATCTTTCGGGTAAATAGACCTAACTCGCTGTCACAAGAAAGGCTTGAGGCTGCGGAGCAGGCTTGAAGGCAGATAGCTGTTGCCCGTTCAGCACCAAATCCTGTTACTGCGTGGTTTGATTTGATGTCATTGCGACGGAAATTCATTCGTTGGGCCATTGATGAGACGATTTACTCCATGTTTTCTATTCATTCATTTTGTTTTTACGTCTGTCAGTGACTGAGTATGCTTCAGTCTCAGAATGTGTACAGAATTTTAACCTGAGAGAATGATTATGTGCCAGATGGCCAGACATTTGAGGGAATACCTTTTCCTTCGTCTTTAGTCGTCTGCGTGCGGTATTTGAAGGGTGTGGCTTCTCCTGAATTAAGTGATGCAGCGTCATGTTGTCGACGAATTGTTTTGGTGGTGTTGTATTCAAATTT